CTAGGATTGTTTCTGATCATAGTGGTCCACCTTCTACTGACTCAGGTGTAGTGTGTAATGAGGTGGCCCTGCCAGTTTTAGCCACCATATCCTCTTAAGCATTAAACCTCTTTCCAGAATTTCCTAGCAAAAGTATTCCCGACAGCTCATGTATCCATCCCTAAATCACTCAGCCAGGGAATGTAAGGTACTAATTGACTTAGGCCTAGGTCCCACGTTCCACCTTCAGGGTCAGCTTAGGTCAGCTTCACCAGAATCACATGGACTGAGAATTGGAAACCAAACAGCTCGTCAGAGAGAAATCTAAGGATGAGATTGCCAGCAGATGAATGACTGAATGAATGAAGCAAAAATAATAGATGTCCATTATAACCATCCATGTATCCACCTGCTACAACTGATAGATTCTTAAGAAAAACCCTATAACTGCCCTATGGTTGCCACCATCAAGCTAGACGAGGCAGCCATCCCCAAAACTGAAAAGTGGCTGTCCTTTGCAGAATTGCTTTACTAAATTGCATTATATCAGGATTTTCCTGAGAATCTAAGGTGCGGTCTTCCACAACTTGTTGTAACATACATAAACCTGTCTGATTTGTTGGCTTGCACACAAATGATCACACAGGTATTCGCATAAGCAACAGTGCTTACACAGCCTCAAAGATTTGGGTACAGAGTTGTGGAAAGATCCACTGGAAAGAATTTAGCAACCAGAGAAGCCTCTGTCTCTTTGGCCTGAGGGACACACAATTCAATGAAGTTGGGTGAATTGGGGACACCCTTCTTAGGTCTGCAAGGTGCTTTCTATATAGAATAACTATATACTTTATAGTTCAAACTGGGACACTTTTGAGAATAAAAGGTGTTAACCAGATGGGACCTGGGGATAAGAGGCAATAAACTGGAACTCTGCCAGGCAAACTAGGGCATGCATCTAGGTGTGTGTGTAAACTTAGCCTAACAATGTCGATCTGAACATATTCAACATTAAAGTATGTATTTCATGTTCACAAAATACACATGAATACATTCACCTCATTTATTCCCTTACAGAGTTCAGGGTCTGGGTAGGCCCCAGAGTATCTATCATTGTTTGTTATCAGAATGCCATTTTTATAAAAAGATGCTTGTAAGAAATTGCCCCCCACCCCTTTCATAAATTTGAGATGAAGTCCTGCTCTTGTTGCCCAGCCTGGAGTGCCATGGTGTGATCTCGGCTCACCACAACCTCCGCCTCCCAGGTTCAAGTGATTCTCCTGCCTCAGCTTCCAAGTACCTGGGATTACAGGCGTTGAGCCACCACACCCGGCCAGAAACTCTCATCTTAGTACCCAGAATAATTTTGTTGGAGTTGGGGTGTCACCTTATCACCCAGGCTGGAGTACAATGGTACAATCACAGCTTACTACAGTCTCATCCTTCCAGGCTCAAGCCATCCTCCCACCTCAGCCCTCCAAATACCTAGGACTACAGGCACATGCCACCATGGGGAATAATTGTTCCGTATCTGGATTTACTTTCATCTTAAGGACATTACAAATGGTGTATCTGACCAGGTTTCTCTGTCTTCACTATTGGAAAGCTTAAATGTGTGGCCTACATGAAGTAGGTGTATATGTCATGGCGTGCACTTTAAGCCTCATTCCAGACTCCACATTGTATCCCTTACCCTTGGGTTTCCTTCATGTAACTTTTCATTTACATGACCTTGTACCCTAGCTTTTCTTGTTAGTCACTTTAAGTCCCATAAATAAGTGACATATACTCCCCAGCCCAACTGCCTTCAGAGGTGGGGTGGCCAGCCACCTCTTCAGTTAATTCCTTCAAGTTTTAGAGAAGAATGTCAACTCTGCATGGGTCAATCTCGAATTCAAACAAACCATCGGAGGAAAAGAAAATTAGACAACTGAATTTAAACATTGAATATTTATTTGATACTGAGTTTTTACCAAAGTTGCTTAGGTGTGATAGTGATAATGTGGTTACGTTTTCTCAAAGTTATCTTTTACATATTTAGGCTGGAATATTTACAGCAGTCTGCAATAGCCAAATCTGACAGTAGACAGAGGAATATAATTTTCTCCCAAGGAGGGGTAACAAATAGTTTTGAACTATTTAGGCTGCTACTCTCACCACCCACTCCCTTAGGAGTAGAGTCAGTAATCAGCATTTTAAAGAAAAGCACCTAAGAACCCCAAGACTGATGCAGGTGGTCCTCGGATCTCACTTTGAAAAACTCTGCCCTATAAATGATACTTTCTGGACTCGACTCCAGAAAAACTTTGCTTACTCTGAGCGACTAAGCCATTTTCTTAGGAATCCATGTATCTCTTGCTCTTGTTTGTCTCACTCTGTTGCCCAGGCTGGAGTGCAGTGGCACATTCTCTGGCTCACAGCAACCTCCGCCTTCTGGGTTCAAGTGATTCTCCTGCTTCAGGCTCCCAAGTAGCTGGGACTATAGGTGCCTGCCACCATGCCTGGCTAATTTTTGTATTTTTAGTAGAGACAGGGTTTCACCACGTTGGTCAGGCTGGTCTTTAACTCCTGACCTCGTGATCCGCCCACCTCAGCCACCCAAAGTGCTGGGATTATAGGTGTGAGCCACAGTGCCTGGCCTCTCGCTCTTATTTCTAATTGTTGACTGTACTTTCAGGGACTAATGGTTTTGAGTGCTGCTCCACAAAACAAACAAACAAACAAACAAACAAACAAACAAAAAACAAAAAGAACCAAACACTCTGTGGTCAGGTAAGTTTGTGGTAGGCCATATACCTGCCCTGCTCTGAGAAATTCCCTGTGATCATTACTTCAGAGCTCTGAGTAGTCCTGCGTTAAAGAATCTTGCTTAAATTTATTTGGCCCAGTTTCTCACACTAAACACAGAACCTTTGTTATTAATCCTATTAACAGTTTCATAGAACACTGAGTTAAAATTTCAATCTAAATTAAAATACATTATCACAGGATGAGTGCAATAGCTCATGCCTGTAATCCCAGCACTTTGAGAGGCTGAGGCAAGAGGATCACTTGAGCCCAAGAGTTTAAGACCAGCCTAGGCACCATAGTGAGACTCCACCTTTACAAAAAAATAGTGAGCTGTGATCACGCCACTGCACTACAGCCTGAGTAACAGAACGAAACTGTTTCAAAAACAAACAAAAAGAATGATCACAGATAAGACTTTGTACTTACGTTTGTTACTGAGGCTGTTTTAGTTTTCCATTCATCAATGCAGGAACTGCCATTTCTTAAGGTACACTCTCTCCTGCCTCCATACTCCATGTAGAGAAATAGTTGCAAAGCAGAGTACCGTACTTAGAATCTAGAAACCTGTGTTTAAATTCCTGTGCCACCATTTACAAGCCATGTCATCTTGAATATGCTACTTAATCAGAGCCTGTTTCATCTGAAAATTGGAAATAACATTTACCTAACCTACAAAGCTCTCTGCTACATTGCTGTGAAGAGCAAAGATAGCACATATGAAGTGAATGAAGTCTGTAAAATGATTTCAAATAATATGTTTACTGGAGGTTTAGCTCAAGAGTTGTTTCTAAGCAGACATGGATCAATATCCTTACATTTGCTTTACAGCCACAGATTACAGCACCGACCCAGCAAATAACCTGGCCGTCATAAGGGAGTCTAGCCACACACGTGAGTGTAGGAGCACTCATGATCCAAGTGCATCAGCATTTTATATGGCAGATATCTTCCCCTATTGTAGATCTTTTTTGTTGTAGCCAACTCAGGAGAGGGAGGAAGCCATCATTTAACTCTCTTCCCTTTCTGTCCATGAGAATGAGACAAAAACAGGATTCCACAGCCATACCAATACTAATTAGCAGGGTGTAGAAACCAGTTACATTGCCTGCCACTGGAACAGGAAACTGGGATAATTGTCAGTGTCCTCTTTTGCTCCTACTCTAGGATATTAGATTGCTAGGTCACTGTCAGTACACCCATCTGATGAAATGAGGCCCATGGGGCTGCCAGGGTTAATACTGGGAATGTATACAGGAACATAGTAAGCCTCCTCTGGTAGACAAGCAGAGTACCAGAGTACCAAGGACCTATGGAAATAGCTCAGGCTTCTTCTTTGAGGAGGGAAAGGCAGAGCATGTGCAAAGGCCTGCACTTCTGGCCAATTTGCTCACTCAAACTATAAAGTAACATCAATATTCATGATGCTAAGAAAGGTTAAGTGAATATATTCCCTTCTATATTTTGGATCATCTACTTCTTCCTCACCCTGACACTATTTAAAAAATCTTCAGATATAGATATCTATATCTTTTAGGTGCATTTATTTGTGACATACTCCTAGATTTAAAGAGAAGAGTGCCAGAGGTTGGGGGGTGGGGGTACAAAAACCACAAGTTTATACTTATTTAATGCTAAGAACACAGATATTCTAAAGAGATAAACAGAAAGTAGTTTTGTTTTTCTAAATAGGATTTTGATCACAAAAACGCTGGTGATTCAAACATTTAAAACGTAAGAACATACAACCTAAGAAAAATGCAAGACGTATTTCATCTCTCACCTGAATTAGACTTAGAACACCTAAGCATTCTCCTTATGAGGCATTAATACAGTCATGTGTTGCCCAACGATGGGGATACATTCTGTGAAATCTGGTAGGCGATTTTGTCCTTGTGCAAACAGCACAGAGTGTAGTTACAGAACCTGAGACGGTATAACTTACTACATGCCTGGACTATATGGTATAGCGTGTTGCTCCTGGGCTACAAACCTGTACATCATGTTATTGCACTGACTACTGTAGGCAACTGTAACATAATGGTATTTGTATCTAAACATAGAAAAGGTATAGTAAAAATATGGCACTATAATCTCATAGGACTGCCATCATGTACATGGTCTGTCATTGACCAAAACATCATTACGTAGTGCATGAATGTATCAAAATTGTGCAAAAAAAAAAAAAAAACAACCTGTATCCATAGTGTTTAAACCATAAAACCAATAACTGGTGTATACATGACAAAAACAAAGCATGTAAAATAATATACAGCCTATAGAATTCAAGGACAGCTTCAGGAGCAAATGCTACGTAGAAAAAAAAAATTCAAAGACAGCAAGGGTAACAAAGTCAGGTAAAAGAAAGGCAATTAGGGGCGTGAGATATTTTTCAAAGCAGGAAGCTGATGATGTCCACTGCGAGACTGGAGGAAACCAGAAGTCTGAACACGGAGCAGTTACTGATAGGAAGGATAAAGTGCTACATCTCTAATAGCAAGCAAATTAACTCTGTTGAAATTGCCAGAATGAAAGCCAAGGTGGTTTTCAGTAAAGAATGTTCTCCTTGAGAGCATAGCCAGCATGCGGTTGAGCCGGGACCTGATACCAGCAAAGTGGAATTGCCGCTCTTTGTTCAAGTTTCTAAATGAGTCACTCAAGTACAGTTCCAGGTGCGGGGTGCCCAGGTACTTGGGATAGACAGGATTGTGGAAGTCAGTAGCTCTGACAGAAGTGGGAGAGCCAGTGGAGCTTGCCACAGAGCCTTGGGAAGACACGGAAGAGGAAGACTTCAAACTGGAAGATCTTGATATAGACATTTTTGAGGCTGGTGACCCTTCTGCAGATTGAGTTCCTTGAGAAAAGAGAATGTTCTCATCCATGTCAGTCTGAGTGGTGGTCGACGTGGACCAAATCATGGTTTGAGAGCAGGCTACCCTGGTGGCGACTGCATTCTGGGTCCCAACACAGGCAGTGGCGATGCTGGTTTGTGTTCCCACCTCACTCACACTCAGCCCTGGCATCCCCTCTCCTGGCTCTGTCTGAGTGGCAGCATCAGTGGCCTTTCTGCTCTGGAGCTCATCCCTGTTGGAGTAGTCTTCCTCACTAACAGTGGAGGACTCACGGTCATGGGGCTTGGGCTCTGCCTTGCCCTCTGCAGGCATCTCTGGGTCCAAGTCCGTCTTCCTGGGAGTACTTGAGAGCCTAGCCAGCCGCATCCGCAGCAGATTGCCCAGGGTGAGCTCCTTGGACTGTGGTTTTCGGTCAGTGAGGTGACCAAATTTGTTGCTGCTCTGGAAGTGAGACAGGAGTTTGGGGCTGATGGGCTTGGATTGGGCATACAGGATTCGGAACTCCAGATCAAAGTGTTCAACCACTTGGCCAGACAGAATTACCAAGTTACTGCTATTTAATTTGCCATCCGTCCATGTAAAGCTTAAGGATTTAAAAAAAACAAACAGCAGCTGGTAAAGATGAGTAATTTTGGTTTACTCATTGTCCACCTGAACAACATAGCACAGGCATCTTACCACATAGGAGTTACGACTTTGGTGATATATCTACCATTTACATGCATTTGACTAATCTTAACATACATATAAAACACATATATAACATTTATGTGTGTTACCATAAAAGTAAAAAGGCCAACTGTTTAACAAACACACTAAATGCCCAGCCCCAGTTTTTTTTTTTTTTTTTTTTTTTTGAGACAGGATCTTCTATGCTGCTCAGGCTGGTCTTGAACTCCTGGGCTCAAGCGATCCTCCCACCTCAACCTTCCAAAGGGCTAGGATTACAGGCATGAGCCACCTCACCTGGTCCTTGCCTCAGAGTTTTTAAAAACTAGAAAGGAGGCCGGTTGCAGTGGCTCACGACTATAATCCCAGCACTTTGGGACGTTGAGGCAGGCAGGTCCCTTAAAGGCCAGCCTGGCCAACAAGGTGAAACCCCATCTCTACTAAAAACACACAAAAAATTAGACAGGCATGGTGGTGCATGCCTGTAATCCTAGCTACTCGGGAGACTGAGGTGGGAGGATTGGTTGAACCTGGGAGGCAGAGGTTGCAGTGAGATTGCGCCACTGCACACTCCAGCCTGGGTCACACAGAGCAAGACCCCGTCTCAAAAAATAAATAAAATAAAAATTAAAACTAGAAAGGGCTTCTAAGTATTTAGGCCAGTACCCCCATTTTAAAGGTAAGGAAACCAGCTAGGGATTATCACAGTGGGAAGCTACTGCTAGACTCCAATCAGGCCCCAGGCCCTATGAACTGCTAGTGCCCTGCTCCTTGCTACTGTTTGAATGGCAACATTAGTGGCCTTCCTGCCCTCAAGCTCGTCCTTGTGGCTGGGTGACGTGGTCATCCTCACTAACAGTGGAGGACTCAGTCATGGGGCAGTGCTGCCATTTTCACAAAACACCATGGCTCAAAACATGTTAGAGCTGATTAGTGGCCATGTGCCCTTGCCTGTCCAGTATCCTTCCCCATCTCCTTCCTCTGCTAGCAGAACTCACACCCACCTGTACGCCAGAAAGCTTTCATTACTGTACTCTCTCCAACCACAATAGGGGCAGGTATATGGTCCAGACTGGCCAGACTATCTATCTATCCTATTCCCTTGGATGTAGGGATTCATTCAGGGTGGGCATGTGACCCCACCAGAGCCAAGTAATTTTTCAGAGATTTCTTTTTTTCTTTGTCATATGGATTCTGACGGAAGGGATTGATAGCAATTTTGAGTGAATGAGTTTCACCCTTTGGGAGACAGCTACTAAAGGCCACGTAAGAAAGCCAAAATCTTTGACTTCAAAAGAAGAGCCTCTCTAAGAACAAAAATCAGCTCGAGAAAATCAGAACCAGGAGATAGTGTTCTGATCAGCGTGTGGCTCCTAGGTCAAGATGAACTGAAACCAACTTTACCTTTCTATGCTTCCTTCCAAGTTCTTCAAGTCAGTACATTTGAGAGTTAGCTTTCTGCCATCACCTCACTAATGCTGATATTTGCACCAGAAGCAGGTTTCAAATAGAGATTATAACACAGTCAACTCTGTCTCCTGTAACCAATAATCTGGCTATTGCAAAGTCCCCCTGGAAACTGCTTTCAACGCCTGAGAAGGAAGATGCTTTTGAAAGCCTTCAATGAGCCTGGGCATGGTGGCTCACACCTGTAACCCCAGCACTTTGGGAGGTCAAGGCCAGCAGATCACCTGAAGTCAGGAGTTTGAGACCTTCCTGGTCAACATGGCAAAACACCATCTCTACTAAAAATAGAAAAATTAGCCAGTTGTGGTGGCATGCCTGTAGTCCTAGCTACTCAGGAGGCTGAGGCACAAGAATCGCTTGAACCTGGGAAGTGGAGGTTGCATTGAGCTAAGATGGTGCGTCTGCACTCCAGCCTGAGCAACAGAGCAAGACTCTGTCTCACACACACACAAAAAGAAAACCTTCAATGAGATAATGTAAATAATGCACCTGTCCAACACTAAGATTATAAAATAGCTAAGTTTTGTTAATATAGAGAAATCCTACTTGCATTAAAAAAATCAAATTTTTTCCTTTTTTTTTTAAAAATAAAATTCTTACAAAAGGAAATTCCAAGAAAAAGAGTTCAATTTTTTTTTCCCCCACAGCCTCTTTGGTGAAGAAAGTTCAAATTTTGTTCTGAGGATGAGGGTATTGTTTAAAAAGAAAGGTGTCAAGATTTTCTTGATTTTACTGCCACACCTTGCACAAGACTTCACATTTCTACCTTTACCCAGGGCTAACATATAATTATCACTCAGGTTGTATGTCTCTTCAAAAATGAGGTTTTCTTTTTAAAATTCTACAGACACACCTCACGCAAACCATTCGACAATCTACTGCAGAGGTGGCAAAACATAAACCATTGGAGCCACATACGTAAAAATGGCACAAATTCTAGAGGTTAACGTAAACCACTCATTACCCCCAGCCTCTCTTCAACCTCCCTGCTCTCTACCTTAAGATGCCATTGCTAACATGAGACTTCAAAGGTGGGTCAAAAACATAATCAGTATTTTCCAGACTAAAGCACTAAATTACAAGGCTTGAAGCAACGTAGAAGATTTGAGTCCAAAGCTGACAGCTCTGGCTCTGCCTTCAACACTAACGGAGATGCCTGCAACTGCTCCTACCTTCGAGTGAGCAGGGCAAGCTGGGTCGAGATCCCTGTGGAACCAGGATTCCAGACTGAGTGCTGCTGTTACCCCCCAAGTCATCCACTGCAGACCTGGGCCAAGGCTTCAAATCTAGGACTGGCTGACTGTGTTGTCTCAAGATAAGTTCAACTTCTGTACTTTAATCTTATGGACTACAGGACAAGGGAAGTGACCCCCACCCAAACTGCCACTAACAGGAGGCTTTGATAACCAGCTCATACACACAGATGCACACATATCAGAATGCGTGGCCATACAGGCTCTCATTGAAAGGATAAGGCTTTTACCTTCTTTTTTTTTTTTTTAAAGATGGGGTTTCACCATGATGGCCAGGATGGTCTTGAACTACTGACCTCAGGTGATCCACCCACCTTGGCCTCCCAAAGTGCTGGGATTACAGGCATGAGACACCGCGCCTGGCCAAGGCTTTTTACCTTTTACGTGACATTCTTCCCCTGAAGAGTTTAGATTAATAAGCCTTGTATGAGTTAGAAACTTACCTGTAGGAGCCTGTTGCCACACGGATGCCATCAATCAATGTGAACTTTTCATGAACCTTCCCAATAATTTTAGTTCCTGACCTTGCATAGTAGATATTTCCTGTGATAGTCCGAACTGTCATAAGCTGTTGGCCGGGGAGTGGGAGAAAAATAAATGAACAATTCAGCAATACTCATCTGGTGAGCTAATGATTAGGATAAACAGACAAAATTATTGGCAGATGTGTGGCTTAGGGTTACCATTTAGTGACAATACAGGTGGTATACTAGCCAGACAGTTCTCAAGCCTCAAGTGATTTTGTTTCTACATTTGGTCCAACTTCTCATCTGCTCTTTTCTTATATTTACTTTTGAGACCCTCAGTTCATGTGTATACGTGCTCTAAAAGAACACTCAACCTTTTTGGGATACTAAACAACAGAATCCAAGAAATGATTCTGAAGCAAAATGTGTGGGATCAAATCATCAAAGAAAACACACCAGTAATAAAGAACATTTTAGCAAGTCTGAAAGAAGCTAAGCTGATCTTTCTCCTACTTGTTTGTTTAATGGCATCACATCAGAGTAACAGCCCATCTTCACTCACTGTCAACACCATAATAGGTATGGAGAATAAGAACATAGGATAGGCTTTCTCCAGTACAGGCCTGCTGAAGCAGAAACACTCATATCACACGTGGCTTAATGAGCAATGTCACATCTCTTACAAATACATAATTACCAAAAAGGTGCACTGCTGGTGGGATGTTGGGGCAATATACTACACATGTATGCATAATTATTCCTGTAAAATGACACACATAAATGTATAAACAATGGCATGCAAAACACTACAACAATCTACATTCTCTGGAGCAGACCAGTGGCTCTATATTGTTAGAAACCTTAACACATTTAAATTATGTTTAAGATTTGTGTTTGACGCATTGATTCCAGAAATATAGACAGCCCCTACTTTGTGCCAAGCCCTGAGACAACAGAGATGTAAGGCATGCTCCTTACCTTCAAAGACTAGAATAAGAGAGAGAAAACTAATTGAATCATTTAGAAACTACAGTAACACGTAACAGCATCCAGAGAAATGAAAACCTATATCCACACAAATACTCCTACACATGTTCACAGCAACTTTATTCATAATAGACAAAAACTGGAAACTATCCAAATGTCCTTCAGTGGTTGAATGGTATAAGATACCATACAATACTCAGCAATGAAAAGGAACAAACTGATGATAAATGCACAACTTGGATGAATTTCAAAAGTACTGTGATTGGAAGGAAAAAAAAGCCAATCTTGAAAGGTCACATACTATATAATTCCATTTACATAATAAACTATAAATGACAAAATTATAGAAATAGAGAAAAAATTAGTGGTTGCTAGGGGTTAAAGATGGTGGAAGGAGGCACAGAAAGGAGAGGAATAGGAATATAAAGGAGCAGAAGGAGAGAGATCTTTGTGGTGATGGAGGTTCTGTCTGGGTGTGCATGTGTGGTAAGATGGCACAAAACTGTATACACACATTGTACCAATGTCAATTTCCAGGTTTTGACATTATACCATAAGTTACATAAGATGTAACATTTGGGGAAACTGGGTGAAGGGTACATGAAACTTCTCTGTACAATCTTTGCAACTTCTATTAATCTATCAATATTTAAAATAAGTTAAAAATAAAACACAAAACAAAACTATGGCAAAACATAATACCACTTCTGTGGTCTTATCAAATGCATAATCTGAATTTAACCTTAAAAAAAAATCAGGCAAATTCTACAGAAAATTAGCTAGCATTTTTTTTTTTTTTTTTTTTTTTTGAGGTGGTGTCTCACTCTTGCCCAGGCTGGAGTGTAGTGGTGCAATTTCAGTTCACTGTAACCTCCACTTCCCAGGTTCAGCGATTCTCCTGCCTCAACCTCCTGAGTAGCTGGGACTAAGGCAACTGCCACAACGCCTGATTAACGTTTTTGTATTTTTAGTAGAAACAGGGTTTCACCACGTTGGCCAGGCCGGTCTTGAACTCCTGACATCAGGTGATTTGCCCACCTCAGCCCCCAAAGTGCTGGGATTACAGGTATGAGCTACTGTGCCCAGCGGGCTACTATTCTTTAAAGGTATGAACATTGGGCTGGGCGCAGTGGCTCACACCTGTAATCCCTGCATTTTCAGAGGCCAAGGTCAGCAGATCACAAGGTCAGGAGGTCCAGATCAGCCTAACCAACATGGTAAAACCCCGTCTCTACTAAAAATACAAAAATTAGCCAGGTGTGATGGCACACGCCTGTAATCCGAGCTATTCCGGAGGCTGAGGCAGAAGAATCGCTTGAGGCAGGAGGTGGAGGTTGCAGTGAGCCGAGATTGTGCCACTGCACTCCAGCCTGGGCGATAGAGCGAGACTCCATCTAATAAAAAAAAAAAATGCCTAGACCCAGCCGGGCACAGTGGCAAATGTCTGTAGTTTCAGCTGCTTTGGAGGCTAGTTGATGCAAGAAGATCAGTTGAGCCCAGGAGTTCAAGACCAGCCTAGGCAACATAGCAATACCTCATCTCTTAAAAAAAGAAAAGAGCGGTGGGGAGGGGGGCATTTAAGACCCTAAAAGACAAATAAAGGTGGAGAAACAGTTCCAGATTATAAGACATAAAGAAGGAGACTTGACAACTAAATGTAAGGTGTGATCCTGGATTGGATTGGATCCTGGACCAGAAAAAGGGCATTAATGGAACGACCAGGAAATGTTTAAGTCTGTAAATTAGACAGTATTGACATCCAGTTTATTTCCTGATTTTGTTATTTGTACTGAGGTAAGATGTTAACACGTGGAGAACTTAGGCAAAGAGTATTCAAGAATTTCTTTTTTTTTTTTTTTTTTTTTTTTGAGACGGAGTTTCGCTCTTGTTGCCCAGGCTGGAGTGCCATGGAGCGATCTCGGCTCACCGCAACCTCCACCTCCTGGGTTCAGGCAATTCTCCTGCCTCAGCCTCCTGAGTAGCTGGGATTACAGGCATGTGCCACCATGCCCAGCTAATTTTTTGTATTTTTAGTAGAGACGGGGTTTCACCATGTTGACCAGGATAGTTTCGATCTCTTGACCTCATGATCCACCCGCCTCGGCCTCCCAGAGTGCTGGGATTACAGGCGTGAGCCACTGTGCCCGGCCTTCAAGAATTTCTTATGTTATTTTGTAACATTTATAAATCCTATTTCAAAATAAAAATTAAAAAAACAACAACTAGGGAATGTCATAGAGGTTACCTGGACTTGGTGAGAGGAGAACTTCCTAGAGGAGGTGTTGATGCCTGAGCCAAGTCTTAAAGGATCAACATATAAAAACAAGTATAAAAAATACCATTATGGGCAGATTTAGGCACGGTTTCATGTATCTTTCCCTTTGGCACGCATCTGAATATTGTACATGCCTCAGTGATTTTGGCCAAAGCATCTGTGAGTGTCTATACATCAATGTGTGACCAAGTTCCTACAGACAGCACAACCCAAGATTCTGAACCAGCTACAGAGACAGGGCATGGAGAAATCAGCCCCTATACAGAAAGGGCACAGATTCACTAGCACAGGCAGGTACAGGAAACAGAAGCAACCAGACAAGACAGTGTTTCCCCAAGAAGGAAGTAAGACTACAAAAACTGGGGAGGCCAGAGAAATAGACCTCCTTAAACCGCCCTTGCAGAGGATCTGGACACCTGTGAAAGCAGCAACCAACAGCAGGCAACTGAATCGGTGCCTGCTGATAGATTTTTGCCTAGCAGATGAATCAGAGACAATCACTTGATCAAAGTTGTGGCCAGAACAATTCTGTAATTTCTCTGCTGCTAACACACAGCCTTAATGATAGAAAGAAAGCCTTGAAACTAAACACTGACACCTTAAATTTCTTCACCTGGCTAGATGATAATGCTCTTTTCCATGCCAAAGGGTATTTTCCTTGGGTCTGCCTCACGTTCTAACCATTTGTTGGGTTACATGGCTGTCTCATCCCAGTTGGTTTCTAAACCCCGATCCTGTCTCCATTGTGAGACAACCAGCAAGAACTCTGTGAAAGAATTTGAACTTTGTAAACCAAATTGCTTGACTATTAGTCAGTTTTAGGACATTCTCATCAGTTTAAAAAAGAAAATCCTAAAAAAAAGTACCCTTTAGCAATAACCCCATCCTTCCTTCCAACTTGCCAGCCCTAGGCAACCGCTCATCTATGTCTGTATAGATTTCCCTATTTTGACTTAATGGAATCATATCATATGTGGTCTTTTGCAACTGGCTTCCTTCACTTAGCATGTTTGCAGGTTCATCCATGCTGTGGCACGTATCAGCACTTCATTCCTTTTTATGGTTGAATAGTACGCTACTGTATGAATAGACAACATATCATTTATGCACTTATCAGTTGATGGGCATTGGACTGTTTCCACTTTTTGGCTTTATGAATAGTGCTTCTATAAACACTCATACACACATTTTTGCATAGGCCTATATTTTCATTTCTCTTGGGTAGACACCTAGAAGTGGAATTGCCAGGTAACAGGTACTGTTCATTTCTGTAAGACTGGGCAAATGACTCTGCTCACTTCCTTGTAAACAGGGCTACCACCACCAACCACCTTGTAGATCATGGAAGCTTGGTCATATTCATTGACTGTGGTGAAACTGAAACTAGTGTGCCACAAACCTTTTCCTGTTCAGGATGAACTTTCAGATCTATGCACATATCCAAAAATTGAGAGAGGAGAGCCTGGTCCAGAAGGATATACACAGCGACTCCCTTTTTCCTGCATATTTCTTGCAGGTCTCTGAAGATGTCGATGTCTGTGAACACATCCATTACCACTGCAATCACCTACAGGTGAAATGGAAGAGCACACGGTTAGCTCATAGAACTTACAGCTCGCTGTCTGGACTCTGGACTCCACTCAGAGATGGGAAACGATCCCCATCCTAGTTACCCTTCCCTCCTGCTTTGGCAGATCAGTACTCCCCTCACCATGGACTCTTTTTGCATCTCCAAACACATCCAGGCCCTATATCCTACAAATCTTGACTTGGCCTAGCTAACACTCCCAAAACGATGCTGACAGGTTTCTCAAAAATACCGATCAATCCACTGCCTTGCTGTCTTAGGAACCTGCTCCATTTACCTTCTATTCCTCCTTTAAACCCGTCTTACAGGCTCAATTCAGAGCAGCAAGCTGTCTGGGTTCTGTGGGTAACACAGGCATCTTTGGCTTGTTGCTCTCCCCACGAGGCTTCAGTTTGCTGTCTGTTAAACAAAGTAAATAAAACCTTACATTCTCTCTGAGGGCTCTTCTGGGGGTAGTATTCTCCAAATCTATTTTCTTAATTATTGTCTGATTTTGAATCATAATCTCCTGACTTTTTTTAAGGCCTGCCCCATTCACCACCAACTCATGACTTGAAAGCAGGCAAAACAGGCACATGGATTCTCCCATCTTCTGCCCCTCTAACTCTGCATACCACTTTGTTAACATACCGTTTTCTTCTACCAGCCAGGCCTGATCAACTGTCTGTTTGGCAGGTTCTGACCAAATGGCTTCCACCACACTGGTTTCTCTAAAATAAAAGGTGCTTTCTGCAGTTCTTTGGTATCTGTACACAGTGCAAGCCCACAGCAAGAACAGGGAAATATTTCCCTTAAACTCAGAACAGACTTTTCTTCTCCCCAACAACGTGACTCCATTCACACCTCCCAAATGATTTTCCATACTTAGCATCAGACTACAATTAAGAGCTAACTTTTAGCCATGCATTCTTGGGCAAATTACAGCTGTTTCAAATGTCTGTTTCCTTAGCTGCAAAATAGGATTGTATCCAAAACTAAATAACTATGTTACATAAGTGCAAGGTACAAAGGATCCCTTAGTATCTGCTCATTTATTCACTTTACCAGTCCAGTGCTGGAGCCATTCAGACAGTTCAACACAGGGAGACACCATCCAGCTTTCCTCGCTCTTTTAAAGACAGGCTGCTCCGGCCACAAAACCTGTAATCACACCCTTTGCAGGCTTAAAACCAAGGTCCTCAGCAAACTCCTGGCAGGGCAGTGGGGTGTCCAAACATCCAGGCTTAGAAACAAGTCCCAACAAACTGAGTCAGAAGTTAGGGGTGTTAACTAAGGAAGCCAAGGCTTGGGAGCTCTTCTGCAGTCTGGAGTATAAGGGCTTCTCCCTCCTCCCCATTTCAACAGTAAAAACCTGTCTTTCAGAATCACATTAACTCTTTTTCTGAGAGTTAGGATTATTTATTTATGGGTTTCACTCCTTCTACTACTGCAGCAAAGGCTCTTGAAGGATTGGTTCATTTCTGTGGTCCCAGAGGACTTGGGACAGTACATGACAGTCATTACTTCTTAAGGATTTGGGAGATTAAAGAAGGAATGAAGAGACAAAAAGGTAATTTGGCCGTCTTCTCCAACATTCCAGGGCCTGAACTACTATGATGTGAGACCTTGAAACGCCAGTCATTGCTGTGATGGAGTTGAGAAGACCAGTTACTCTCCTGCTGCCTTTCCCTCCCAACCCTTTTAATGATGCTCTAAGCTGTGGGCTATTCTTAGTAAAGGGCATGGCTGAAACCCCCTGAACACAGCGACTTAAAAAATGAGAAGAGTTTTTTCTGCATTTGTGGCATCCTCAGAAGTTTACATCCTCCACTGGCTTTTACACATCCTATTTTGACAGTCCTATTCATCCTACTCATTCAGGTCATATGGCAGTGATTAAAGGCAAAAAAGTGCCCTTCCCTCACTCCCTTCCTCCCTCAAAAAAAAAAAAAAAAAAAAAAGGCAAAAAAGTCTGCACATAAAACCCAGTTCTACCACCTACAAGCTGTGTGACCCTGGACAAGTTGCTTAATCTCTCTGAGCCTCAGTTTCCTCCTTAGGAAGAGACGATTAACAGCATCTAGGTCAGAGGGCTGCTGTGAGGTTTAAGTGAAACAAAGCATGGAAAGGGCTTAGCATAGGGAGGGCAAGGCAGGAAACAGGTGTTATTATGCAGCCAGGACCTCCTCAGAGCCCAGTGTGGGCTGCACACTGCACTAGGCAGAAAGATGGCCATGAGGAATTGGACATAGACCCAATGGAGAGGACAAAGGATGCAGAGAAGCAAAATGATACATAGCTTAAGCAATTAAACTAAGGGGGCCAGATGCAGTGGCTCACGCCTGTAATCCCAGAGCTTTGGGAGGCCGAGGCTGGTGGATCACCTGAGGTCAGGAGTTTGATAGCAGCCTGGTCAACATGGTAAAACCCCGTCTCTACTAAAAATACAAAAAATTAGCTGAGCATGGTGGTGTGTACCTGTCATCCAGCTACTAGGAAGGCTGAGGTACAAGAATCACTTGAACCCGGGAGGTGAGGGTGGCAGTGAGCTGAGATCACACCACTGTACTCCAGTGTGGGCAACAGAGCAAGACTCCATCTCAAAAAACAAAGTGTTTCCTCCAGTGGTGGACTACAGGCACGAAAGCCACTCAAATGCTTACCAGATAAGAGCAGGGAAGACTTCCTGGAGATGGCATTTGAGCTGAATCACAAGGACAAAGTTTGGACAAGGGCATGGGAGAAGTGAAGGGAGAAGGCATTCCCGCAGGAAGCCACGTGATGACAGAGGAAGAGGAAGGGAATGACGGGGTATCTACCAGTCTGGCTGGAACGTACAGCATGCATGAAAGGGAGCCATGGACATGACTGGAAAAGACGTATCACAGAAGTCCCTGAATACCAACCCAAAAATCAGTTTCAAACGTCCTCACATTTTCTGTAGAAGAGTAATGAGTTCAAAGTGAAGAATCCAACAGGATGGAAGAAACTGATGCCAGAAGAGATTGGTAAGTCAGAGATCTGGCCCTACCTCCTCCAACACAGGACCTGCAACACGGCAGTCACATGGACATTCTTTAGGTTAAGCAACTTCAATAAATGTTTAGGAGGACTAGAGACCAAGTGAAGAAAAATTAGCGATACAGGTTTTGGTAAGAGGCAGGCAAGAAGCAATGAGGGTTGCAGAAGAGGGAAAGAGGCCGTGGGAGAGCCAAGCAGTAGATGACATGGGCTGGGGAGGGCAGGGAGAGGGATACTCAGATACAAGGAAACAGGAAACACCAGACAAGAAGCAAGAGGGATGAGTTTCAAAATGGATTTTGAGGTTGGAGTTAAATCTTCAGAAAGAGGTTTGGAATACGCAGGTGTACAACAAGATTAGCACTCACAGGAAAAAGCTAAAGAGGAAAATGTATACACCTGCTTGCCTCTCTGATTTCCCACTCTTCTTTCAAATCTTCAGTGTGGACCCAATCAAGTCCTTGAGAACCCAGTCTAATGAGACAGGAGACAAGCCAGGGGTAACAGAGTATAATGGGCCAATGAACACGTACCCCCAGTGCTACTGGAACAGGGACCAGAAAAACCCAGCCCCGCTGCTGGGTTACAGACCTGCTGGAGGCAGGGGCATGGGCCAGGGGCCCACAGCGCAAGGCACTGCCAAGCTGAATTTTGATTCACCACTTAACAAAACAATTATGCAACAGCTTTGTTATATGGTGAGTAAATACCTAATTTGGTATTTGTTCCATTGTTTGGTTTTAAAGCCTCACCCTTTCCTGTGTGCTGGATTTGAACACTGGTCCCTAACTTCCTCAGGGTGTGTAGTTGATGGAGGTTCTTTTCTTCCCCTGACTCCCCCTACACCCAGCATCCCCTCCTTTCTTACTAAAGCAGGACTCTTAAAAATATTTTGTCTTTTTTTTGGAGATGGAGTTTCACTCTGTCACCCAGGCTGGAGTGGTGCTGTGATCTTGGCTCACTGCAACCTCTGCCTCCCAAGTACAAGCAGTTCTCCCACCTCAGCCTTCCAAGTAGCTGGGACTACAGTATATGCCATCACACCTGGCTAATTTTTGTAGACATGGGATCTCACCATGTTGCCCAGGCTGGTCTCACCCGCCTTGGCCTCTCAAAGTGCAGGGACTACAGGCATAAGCCTCCATGCCCACCCAAAGGTACTTGTCTTTTAAGGAGGAAAAGTCCACAGTCCTACTGTAGAAGAAATCAGTGGGAAGGTCTTCCTTCAAATCCCCATCCCCACCCCACTGTTCTTCTACGTCCCAGCCCTCATGCAACCAAGCCCTGCGTAGCCGAAGTAGACCTGGGGCTAGACTGAAGGGACACACACTTCACTGAGCTGAGCAATGGCCTGGACTCATCCACTAACCAGCCAAGTCCTGCTTTCCAAGCCAGGTTGCATCTCCTAGGTGTTGGGTGCTTGTGCTACAGCCTGCTGGGCCCAGATATATACCTGGACTTGAATGCTAATATGGAAACTGGCCACCACTCCCACTCCCAGAGGCGCAGTGTGGGAAGGACAAAGGCATGCGTGGAGGCAGGCACACTTGCACATCAAGTGCCCACAGTCATGGCACTCTCCCAGCCTGTGCTGCATGAAGCCTACCCACTCTATCAGGGCTAGAAAGTCATGAGAGTGGTGACCTTTGAGAGTCCCTTCCAGGGTCAACATCCATTTGCAATTTGCAAATCAGTGCAAGTCAGTTACAACAGGAGACGTGAGGAGGATGCATCCAGCTGGTCAGGGGCCTGATGGCTGGCCCACTGCCCAGCACCCCACTGCTCTTGCACTTTTCCAACCACATCTGGAGCAGCGGCACCTGTGTCGAGTCTCACATCATCATCTCAGGTGACAAATCACAAGCCTATCCCTCTCAGTCCTTCTATCAGTCCCCTGCTGATTTGTACCAAGGGACTTGGGGACCCTTGCAGTTGAACAGCAGAGGTCGTGACAGCCTTCTTGTTCTCTGGGAATGTCA